GAAGGCGACTCAGGACTTGACCAAAGTCAGCCTGTGGGTTCAGAGGCAAAGTCTAAGGTTCAAACTACTACACCTTGCTGATTCCCAGGTTTTGGATTACAGCTTTCTGAAGACATTCTCTTTTGGCAACACCTTCTGTTTTGGAAGGATACTGTCCATGGTTGCTGATGAAACTGGAGAAGCTCAGAGCAAAAGCAAAAAGCCAAAGACGGAAAATAAGAGGGAAAAAGGAAAAGGAGGAAGGGGCAGAAAAAAGAGGAAGGGAGGAAGACATTGGATTTCAGAGGGTGTCTTCCTTGGGTCAAGAAGACACCCCATCTCTCTTTTCTGTTGCCTTTTTGTTCTTTCTTTCTCTTCTTTCTTTCCTTTCTACACTCTTCTTCCTTCCCTTTCATCTTTCCTTCCTTCTTTCCTTTCTTTCTTCCTTCCTTCCTTTTGCCTTCCTTCTCCCTCCCTCTTCCCCCCTCCCCCCTCCCTTTCCTCTTTCCTTCCTTCTTTCCTTCCCTCCTTCTCTTCTTCCTTCCTTTTCTTTCTTCTTTCTCTCCCTTCCTCCTTCCCTCCTTCTTTCCTTTTCTTCCCCTTCCTTCCCTCCTTCTTTCCTTTCTTCCTCCTTTTCCTTCTTTTCTCCTTTTTTCCCCTTCTTCCCTTCTTTCTTTCTCTTCCTCCCTTCCTTCCTATTCCTTCCTTCCTTCCTCTTTCCTTTCTCTCTTTTTCCTTTCCTCTCCTCCTCTTTCTTTCTTTCTTTCTTTTCTTTCTTTCTTTTCCTTTCTTTTCTTTTCTCTTCTTTCTATTTTTTTTCATTTGTTTCTTTTCCTTCCTTTTCCTTCCTTCCTTCCATCCTTCCCTTTTTCTTTTCTCTATTCTCCCTCCCTCCTTTCCTTCTTCTCACCTTTATTTCTACATTCTTCTTCTGATTCTTTCTTTCGATTCTTTTTTATTATTTCTTTCTTTCTTTCTTTCTTTTTTCTTCCTTCCATCCTTCCCTCTTTCCTTTCTTGATTCTTCCTCCTACCCTTCCTTCCTTCCTTCCTTCCTTCCTTCCTTCCTTCCTTCCTGCCTTCCTTCCTTCCTTCCTTTTCCTACCTTCCTTTCCCCTCTTTTCCTTTTTCCTTCTTTTTCTGTCTCTCTTCCTTCCTTCCTTCCTTCCTTCCTTCCTTCCTTCCTTCCTTAAATCCCTTTCTTTCATTTTCCTTCTTTTCGTCTTTATTTCTACATTCTTCTTCTGATTTTTTCTCTCCCTCTCTTTCTTTTTCCTTCCTTCTCTCTTTCCTTTCTCTTCCTTCCTATCCTTCCTTCCTCCCTTCTCTAATTCCGCCTCTGGAATCAGTTTGGGAGTCATTGCACTGTGTTTTTGCTGCCTCTTCCTTCTTTGGGCCACAACAACAACAACTTGTGTGAGATGTATCTGACCCATGGGCCGCATGTTGTGCAGTCCTGATCTAGTCTATCCCATGGGTCTGTTAGGAAAATAAAAAGGGAGGGAACACAGATGGGAGTTGAGCATTCCTTACCTAGAAACTGGAATGACCCAAATCCAACATTGTCCACAGGAGGCTGAGAGAGTGACACTTCATCTCCATAACACTTGACATAATGTACCCAAAGTTTTGTTTCATGAACAATGTTGTTACCAATATTTCACACAACTTTGCCTTCAGGCAACATGTATGGAGGTGTTTATTAAATATACCCAAAATATAAACGAATTTCCTGTTTAGATGTTGATCTCATCTGCAAGATATGTCATTATGTACATATATGCAAATACAGGTATTTCCAAAATCCTACCGGAAATGAAAATGTTCACAGTCCCCTGAAAACATGGAAATATCTTAGTTACAGTTCTCTAGGTGGTAGGATCACTCCCATCCCAAATCCTATTGACTTTAAGGAGACCTATTGAATCAATGGAGTTTACTTAGGTATCAACTCACCATCTTCCAATGATTCAGTGGATCTATGCTCATTGTGACTAACCAGCACAGTTCTGGCCTAGGTTAATTTCCTTCCACATTTGGTTCCATGCAGGATTTCTAGATTGGGAAAAGACCGCAAGGGTTATCCATCTGACGCCTAATGCCGCAACCTTCCTAATGCCGCAACCCCTTAATCCAGTTCCTCATGTTGTGGTGACCCCCAACCATAACATTATTTTTGTTGCTACTTCAGAACTGTAATTGTGCTACTGTTATGAATCGTCATGTAAATATCTAGTATGCAGGATGAATTTTCATTCACTGGATCCAATTTGGCACAAATACCCAATTTGCCCAAATTTGAATATTGGTGGAGTTGGGGGAGAGGATTGATTTTGTCATTAGGGAGTTGTAGTTGCTGGGATTCATAGTACTGGAAGGGTTTGGTGGGCCAATGAACTACAACCCCAAAACTCAAGGTCAGTGTGCACCAAACCCTTCCAGTATTTTCTGTTGGTCATGGGAGTTCTGTGTGCCAAGTTTGGTTCAATTCCATCATTGGTGGAGTTCAGAATGCTCTTTGATTGTAGGTGAACTATAAATCCCAGCAACTACAACTCCTGAGTGCCGAGGTCTATTTTCCCTAAACTCCACCAGTGTTCACATTTGGGCATATTGAATATTTGTGCCAAGTTTGGTCCAGATTCATTGTTTGAGTCCACAGTGCTCTCTGGATGTAGGTGAACTACATCTTCAATGCCCACCAAACCCTTCCAGTATTTTCTGTTGGTCATGGGAGTTCTGTGTGCCAAGTTCAGTTCAATTCCATCGTTGGTGGAGTTCAGAAGGCTCTTTGATTGTAGGTGAACTATAAATCCCAGCAACTACAACTACAAAATGACAAAATCAACCCCCCCCCCCCAGCTCTACCAGTATTCAAATTTGGGCGTATCAGGTATTTGTGCCAAATTTGGTCCAGTGAATGAAAATACATCCTGCATCTTAGATATTTACATGATGCTTCCTAACAGTAGCAAAATTACATTCATGAAATAGCAACGAAAATAATGTTCTGTTTGGGGGTCACCACAACATGAGGAACTGTATTAAGGGGTCGCGGCATTAGGAAGGTTGTACTAGGAGGAATGCATCCAGCCTGGGAAAGCCTGCAATGATGCCACACTTGTTCCTAACTCATCCCCTTATTAAATGTACTGCTGTATTTTTCCCTTGCTGCCCCTGAAGGCATGGGTCATTATTCCAAACATAAAATATTGCAGGGTGTAAACTCTTACATAAGCCGCCTCTTCCAGAACGTCGTCATCGGGAACAGCCTGAAACTCCTTGGCCAAGCTGGAGACTCCCATGGAAAGTATGCATCCAATTTAAAGAGGAGGCTTTTCTTTCCCATCCATCAGGGTTTCCATTGTGTTAAATTCTGTCCTGGGACGATTCGGTTTCCCAAGAGAGAAACTGGCGTCATCATCCCAGCGGCAGAGAAACAATGGCCTGTATTATATTCCAGCTGTTGTTGCGTGCCTTCAAGTCATTTTTCAAATAATGGTGCCCATATAATGGGCTTATATTACTGGGTTTTCTTAGCAGGATTAGTCCAGAGAGGTCTTCCTCTGAGGCTGAGACAACGTGACCTGCTTAAGGTCATCCATTGGGACTCTATGGCTGAGTGAGGATTCAAATCCTGGTCTTGAGTCATCGTCAGATGCTCCAACCACAGCACCTTAACTAAATAATGCCTTCATTTATGTAACTAAGTAATTGGGTTGTTGTAGTTTTTTTTGGGCTATATGGCCATGTTCTAGAGGCATTCTCTCCTGATGTTTCGCCTGCATCTATGGCAAGCATCCTCAGGTAGTGAGGTCACACATACCTCTGAGGATGCTTGCCATAGATGCAGGCGAAACGTCAGGAGAGAATGCCTCTAGAGCATGGCCATATAGCCCGAATAAACCCACAACAACCCAGTGATTCCGGCCATGAAAGCCTTCGGCAATAAACTAAGTAATTTCTCTGGATAATCATGCTACAATTGGAACCAGATGGCCATTGTGAATAAGGAAAAGTAAATCTCAGGAATCATAGAATCATGGAATCAAAGAGTTGGAAGAGACCTCATGGGCCATCCAGTCCAACCCCATTCGGCCAAGAAGCAGGAATATTGCATTCAAATCACCCCTGACAGATGGCCATCCAGCCTCTGTTTAAAAGCTTCCAAAGAAGGAGCCTCCACCACACTCTGGGGCAGAGAGTTCCACTGCTGCACGGCTCTCACAGTCAGGAAGTTCTTCCTCATGTTCAGATGGAATCTCCTCTCTTGTAGTTTGAAGCCATTGTTCCGCGTCCTAGTCTCCAGAGAAGCAGTAAACAAGCTTGCTCCCTCCACCCTGTGGCTTCCTTTCACATATTTATACCTGGCTATCATATCTCCTCTCAGCCTTCTCTTCTTCCTCCTTCCAAAGAAGGAGCCTCCACCACACTCCAGGGCAGAGAGTTCCACTGCTGAACGGCTCTCACAGTCAGGAAGTTCTTCCTCATTTGGAGATATATTTAAATATCTGAAAGGATGTTACATTGAGGAGAAGAGGTCAAGCTTGCTTTGTGCTATTCTAGAGACACAATGGAGCCATGTGTTCAAAGTACAGAAAAAGAGATTCTACCAAAACATTGAGAAGAACTTCCTGATGGAACAAGCTGTTTGACAGTGCCTTGGAGTCTGGTGGAATCTCCTCCTCTGGAGGCTTATAAGCAGAGGCTGAATGGCCTTCTGTTGGGAGGGCTCGAGTGCTGTCTTCCTGCATAGCAGGATGGGGTTGGACAGGATGGCCCTGGGGGTCCCTTCCAACTCTGGGACTCCCTCATTCCAAAGAGGACATCTCCCCATCCGGTTTCCTTATCTCTCCTGCCCATGGCATCCCCAGGAATAAATTGTCTGCCAGACACACCCTACAGTCCCAACTCCCACAACGAGTCTTGTGTTTGTGTTTTGTGCCTTCTTGATCTCAAACCCTGAAATTACCGGGGTTCATGGCAACCAGAAGGGAACACCCTCCGAGGTATATAACCCTCCTTCACCGTTGCTGCCAGACTGGTCTTCACTCAAGGGAAGGTCAAAGTGGCAACCATGAAGACTTGGTGCATTGCTTTGTTTGTGGTGGCAGCCTTTGTAGGAAAAGGTAAGGTGGAAAAAGGCTTGAGGTATTTTTCTGGGGTGTTATTGGACTGCAGGTCCCATCACTCTTAGCAACAGAGCCAACTGGAGCTGCAACCCACAAGCATCTCGATGGCTAGTAATCACCTTTTGGATTCAAGTGAGGCTCCAGCTACACTGCCATATGGTCCAGTTTCTGAACCCAGTGCAGACTCATATAATCCACTTCAAAGCAGATCATCTGGATTCAGAAACTGGATTATATGGCAGTATGGATCCAGTCTGAGAAGGGTTGGGAATTCAAGAGGATAGGGAGTTTAAATTGGGAGTGAGCTATTTCCAAATGTGGTTGAACTTCGGTTTCTATTATCACTGACCACTGGTCTGCTGGCTGAGGCAATGTCAGTTGCATGGCTGTTTGTTTCTCACTCCACTGTCAAATTAATGCAGTTTGAAGACTGAAGACTGAAGACCGACAGGTCGCAGGTTCGAATCCGGGGAGAGGCGGATGAGCTCCCTCTATCAGCTCCAGCTCCTCGTGCGGGGACATGAGAGATGCCTCCCACAAGGATGATAAAAACATCAAATCATCCGGGCGTCCCCTGGGCAACGTCCTTGCAGACGGCCAATTCTCTCACACCAGAAGTGACTTGCAGTTTCTCAAGTCGCTCCTGACACGACAAAAAAAACAACAACGTTTGACACATATTTCAACTGCATTGGTGCAATGCTATTGATTCCTGGGAGCTGTAGTTTGGTGAGGCACCAACACCCTTTGGCACAGTATGCTAAAGACTTTGTAAACCTACAATTCAATCCCATGGCAGTTAAAAGTCAATCTGCATTAATTCGATATCTGGAAGACACAGGATTGGAAGGAACAGGTGTTTCCCCTTGGAAACTACATTCTTCTTGCAAAGGAACCTTACGAACTCCTTTTAGCCATAGGGAGTTTGGGGGAAGGAATGGTGGACTTTTTTTGCAGTAGGATACCAAACCCACTCCATTCAATTATGGGTGGCAAATCCACAAATAATCAAATCCACCCAAGTTAAAACTGCCTGGCTTGTGTTGTTGTTGTTATTATTGTTGTTGTTTTAAATTGAATCTAGGATAGGTTGGGTTGTTGTAGGTTTTTTCAGGCTATATGGCCATGGTCTAGAGGCATTCTTTCCTGACGTTCGTCTGCATCTATGGCAAGCATCGTCAGAGGTAGTGAGGTGGATTTGGGTTCACTATCTCTGAGGATGCTTGCCATAGATGCAGGCGAAACGTCAGGAGAGAATGCCTCTAGACCATGGCCATATAGCCCGAAAAAACCTACAACACCCCTGTGATTCTGGCCATGAAAGCCTTCAACAATACTAGGATAGGTTGTTTGTGGATAAATTTATGGCCTCAATTCTGTCTTTGGTTTATGTGTGCCGTCGCGCCTGAGGTCTATAGATCTTGGTGAAAGAAACATGGACGTGACATCTCTCCCCAGGGGATTACTTCTTGCCCTCCTTTAGGAAACTGGAACTCCCAAGGACCAAGACACCACAGATAACTCAAAATGGTGTTTATTATTCACAATGAGTTATCTTTCTTAGGAATAAACTTGATGATTCGACAGGGATAAAGAAAATATACGTTACAGTCTCTGAAGTCTTGGGTCCAAGGAGTTTTGCAGCTGAGAAGCTTTCCAAGTTCCCTCTTTCTCAATGGCTGTGAATGCCTGAGCAATCCACAACCCCAGTCCAAATGGCCTATATTTGAAGACACAAAGTCTTCCTCTGGTGCCAAAGGACTGGTTTGAAGGTGCTTGAGACTCCTCAACGTCATCCAGGAAGATCTGGGTTTATGCAAAGAAAGCAGTGTTGTTGAGTGCCAGTTTGTGCACCGAGGATGCATTCACATTGTAGAATTAATGCACTTTGACACCTCTTTAACTCCCATGGCTCAATGGTATGGAATTGTGACCCCTGTAGTTTGGCACTCGTTGGCAGACAAGTCTGACGACCATGTAAAACTACAACTCCTATGATTCCATAGCATGGGACCACGGCAGCTAAAATGGTGTTAGACTTCATTAATTTTAGTGTAAATGTACCCAAAATTTGGGAACCAATTATATGGAGAAATACAGAAACAGTACAATCTAATTCTACCAGAAGTCCTTGATTGGTAATTATCTTGTAGGGTTTGTCCTCATGTAAGCCACCCCGAGTCCCCTTGGGGAGATGGTGGCGGGGTATAAATAAAGTATTATTATTATGTATCATTGAAGGCATTCATGGCCAGAATCACTGGGTTGTTGTAGGTTTTTTCGGGCTATATGCCCATGGTCTAGAGGCATTCTCTCCTGACGTTTCGCCTGCATCTATGGCAAGCATCCTCAGAGGTAGTGAGGTCCTCACTACCTTTGAGGATGCTTGCCATAGATGCAGGCGAAACGTCAGGAGAGAATGCCTCTAGAACATGGCCATATAGCCCGAAAAAACCTACAACAACCCTATTATTATTATTATTATTATTATTATTATTATTATTATTATTATTATTATTATTGAGGTAAATAGTATTTTGTTGACCTGGGCTCAGATACAACCATATTAAATCAATTTGGGCTTCCTCAAATCATTCACACTCGGTCCATCTAGTCTACATAAAACGGAGAGAGAACACACAGACTGCTTAAGCATCCTTTATCCAGAAATCAGAAATGCTCCAAAATTGTCCTCATGGGTAGATGAGATAGTGACACCATTGCTTTCTGTTGGTTTTGTGGTGCACAAACTTTGTTTCAGGCACAAAGTTGGTAACGATATTCTCTATCAAATTTCCTAAAGGCTATTTGTATGACGTGCATACGAAGCATAAATGAATGTCGTGTTTAAACTTGGTCCCATCTCCAAGGTATCTCATTATGTATATGCAAGTATTCCAAAATCCATAACCCATTCAGTCTCAAGCATTTTGGATAAGGGATCGATCCTCAGTTTGTTTTGGATTAGGTCTTTGGGTGGATTATGCTTCTCACTCATTATTGAGTTGAATTTACGGTGAAAATTTTCTAGGATTTTTTGGCAAGATTTATTGTTTGGTGAGCTGCCTCAAAGGAAGGCAATGGCCAATCTCTTCTGTATTGTGTCATGTCCCTTAGATACAATTTGCACTATCCCATTCCTTTGTCTCGTTCATAGTTTGGCCATATCTTACGATAGTTGTCACCATAGGTTATTGCAGTGTTTCTCAACCTTCCTAAAGCCACGACCCCTTATTACAGTTTCTCATGTTGTGGTCACCCCTAACCATAAAATTATTTTTGTTGTTACTTTATAACTGTAATTTTGCTATTGTTATGAATTATAATTTCAATATCTGATAGCAGGATGTATTTTCATTCACTGGACCAAATTTAGGACAAATATGCCCAAATTTGAATACTGGTGGGGTTCCGGAGGGGTTGGGTTGATTTTGTCATTTGGGAGTTGTAGTTGCTGGGATTTATAGTTAACCTACAATCAAAGAGCATTTTGAACTCCACCAACAATGGACTTGAACCAAACTTGGCACACAGAACTCCCATATTGGAAGGCTTTGGTGGGCATTGACCATGAATTTTGGAGTTGTAGTTCAAACGCATTCAGAGAACACTGTAGACTCAAGCAATGATGGATTTGGACCAAACATGGCATGAATAGTACTCAACATGCCCAAATGTGAACACCAGTGTAGTTTGGGGATACACACCTTGACATTTGGGAGTTGTAGTTGTTGGGATTTATAGTTCAGCTACGATCAAAGAGCATTCTGAACCCCACCAACAACAGAATTGGGCCAGACTTCCCACACTTCCCATGACCATGTGTTTTCTGATGGTCTTTGGCGACCCCTCTGACACCCCCTTGCGACCCCCACAGGGGTCCCGACCCCCAGGTTGAGAAACGCTGGGTTATTGGGTGTTGTTCTGAGTTTTAAACTATTGTTTTTATATATTATATATTTTACTTTATTGTATTCTATTGTGTTTTTATTTTATGCTGTTTCTGGGCACTTTGTGCCATCTTTAAGTAAAGCCTGAGTCCCTTTGGGGAGATCAAGGCGAGGTACAAGAATAAAGTTGTTGTTGTTGTTGTTGTTGTTGTTGTTGTTGTTCTGAACAGTAAACCTTGCTGAGAAAGCCCTAGGTTTGTAGAATGTATTTACACTGCGTAAAGTGGTTTGACACCACTATGGGTGCATCAACAATGCACCCATAGTCACTATGGGTGACTATGGATGCATCAACAATGTCGAATGAATGCAGTCTGGCACCACTTTAACTGCCATGGCTCTATACAATAGAATCATTGGAGGTAAAGTTTGGTGTGACACCTGTGCTATTTGGCTGATAAGGCTAAAGGCTATTTCAAACTACAGCTCACATGATTCCATCGTCTTGAGCCATGGCAGTTAAAGTGGTGCCAGACTGCATTCATTCGACATTGTTGATGCACCCATAGTCAAGTGAAAGGCGCATAAAAATAACCCCAACAACCCACATCAGTAGGAGATTAAACTTATATAGGTTTCTCAGCTGCTTGGGGTTTTGCAGGTCAGAGCAAAGCAAAACTGCAAGCAACTTCTTCTTCTCTTTCCTTTTCTCCAGGGTATTCGCTCTGGTGCTACCGATGTGAAGATGAACCTTCCAACTGGAACTGTATGAAGATGGTGAAGTGTGCCGAGGCGGACCAATACTGTAGCACAGTGGTTACCACCACCAAGAGCGGTAGGCAGACGCCCTTCTGATATACACTCTCCGAAATGGCCATTTTGAAATGTAAAAGCCACATTAATTCCAGGAACCATCTACTCTACTAGTGTAGTGCAGTGTAGATGTTGCATTAGCCTGGGGTATCCAAACAATGCACCCAGACTAATGCAGACTAATGTTGTTTCTTTTCCCCAAAAAGCTGGAACTCCACTGAAGGACCGTTGAGTAAGAAGATACCAAATACCTCTTTCCATAAGAACTGAAAATATACAGCTGATGCAATCCAGTTGAGACTGCATCAGCTGGAATCTTGTTGGTGACGTAAAATGGGATGTTATGCCATTGTATGTCGCCAACAGGATCCCAGCTGATGCAATCTCACACAAATCCAGAGCAGAGTTTCCAAAATGTTGGTCTTCTAGTTGTTTTGGACTTCAGCCCCCAGAATCCCTGATCATTGGCCCGAGAAGCTGAGGCTTTTGAGAGTTGAACGGAAGGAAGGACGGATGGTATAATGCAATAAATTATGTTTCCATTTGTTGCTGTGTTGCAATCTATATATATAAAAATGCTCTGTGCATAATGAGTATCTTAAAAACAAAAGAACCAATGAATGAAATCACACCAAATTCGGCAATAAAACATCTCACAACACAAGGAGTGACCATCACTCAAAAAATTATGATTTTGTCATTTGGGAGTTGTAGTTGCTGGGATTTATAGTTCACCTACAATCAAAGACCATTCTGAACTCCATCAACGATGGAATTGAACCAAACTTGGCACACAGAACTCCCATGACCAACAGAAAATATTGGAAGGCTTTGGTAGGCATTGACCTTGAGTTTGGGAGTTGTAGTTCACCTACATCCAGAAATCACTACGGACTCAAACAAGGATGGATCTAGACCAAACTTGGCACAAATACTCCATATGCCCAAATATGAACACAGATGGATTTTGGGGAAAATCGACCTTGACATTTGGGAGTTGTAGTTACTGGGATTTATAGTTCACCTACAATCAGAGCATTCTGAACCCCACCAACGACAGAATCAGAGCAAACTTCCCACACAGAACCCCCATGACCAACAGAAAATACTTAAGGCCATCCAATCCAACTCCCTTCTTCAACAGGGCAAGAAAACGTAATCAAAGTCCTCCTGACAAAGAGCCATCCAGCCATAGATATAGATAGATAGATGATAGATAGATAGATAGATAGATAGATAGATATGATTCACACACAGAGAAATATAGTATCATAGATTTGAAAGGGACCCTTAAAGAAGGAAGAAGAAGATATGAAACCAACACTTTCTCATTATAGACTGGGCCACAGCTATGTGTGGCAGGGCACAGCTAGTATTGTATATAATTTTGGAAATTTAATAAATATTTAGAACATTTATTTATTATTTTTATTTACTGCATTTGTATACCGCCCTTCTCAGCCTTCAGGTGACTCATTTCTGATTTTTCCTTCCTCTCCAAGGTGAGAACACAACGTATCGGCTCAGCAAGAAATGCGCCCCTCAGTGTACTGAGACCTTTGCCGATACTGGCTCAGGCTCTACTTCGACTAGTTGTTGTGGGCACTCCCTGTGCAATATTAGTGGAGCTAGCAGTGTGAAAACCAATGGGGCGATGGTGGCTGTCGGGATCCTGGCAAGCCTGTTCTACATCTTCCGGTCGGGATTGTGAGGGTGTGAAGCTCACATTTCCATCTGAAAAGCGAGCAAAGCTCAACTTCATCCAGTGTGTCCAGAAAGCATCATGGAAGGGCTTGCTTATGTGCATTGCCCTTCCTGCTGGAGGAAAAATCCACAAATGGGTACCACTCTCTGGAACGATATCTCTTGCTAGTTCCTTGTTGTTCCTTGTAAATATTGTTCCCATTTTAAAAAATTAATTACTCTGTTTGTGTGACAACTCATTTCTTGTTATACTTACTGCAATCCAGATAGGTAACTCACTGAGGGATTGTTACTATGTCCGTAGAAAAGGAAAAGGAGTGATCTCTGGTTCCCCCAAGTGGCCAATTCAGATATTACGATGTATTGTTGAAGGCTTTCATGGCTGGAATCACTGGGTTGTTGTAGGTTTTTTTGGGCTATATGGCCATGGTTTAGAGGCATTCTCTCCTGACGTTTCGCCTGCATCTATGGCAAGCATCCTCAGAGGTAGTGAGGTGAGGTGATGGTGGCTGTCGGGATCCTGGCAAGCCTGTTCTACATCTGAGGATGCTTGCCATAGATGCAGGCAAAACGTCAGGAGAGAATGCCTCTAGACCATGGCCATATAGCCCCAAAAAACCTACAACAACTCAGATATTACGCTTTGGACATTCTGAGTACATTCCAAGATACAATAGTTAGACTCTCAGTTAGTACTCACAGGGATTGGTAGATGCCAGATAAATGTAGTTTCTGATTGCTTGAGAATTACTTAAAAATAGACCTAATTAATACTATATCACATCATATATCATGCCATAAACTTTGTATGGACTTGATATCAATATTGGAAAACAGTTATTAAAAGCATTTTTTTTTTAAAAAAAAGAAACACATCTTACATTTCCACTAAAAGGATTTATTTTATTGTCGAAGGCTTTCATGGCCAGAATCGCTGGGTTGTTGTAGGTTTTTTTGGGCTATATGGCTATGGTCTAGAGGCATTCTCTCCTGATGTTTTGCCTGCATCTATGGTCTCACCCTGGTCATTCCACAGATATATAAACCCTTTTTCCTAGTTCCAACAGACCTCACTACCTCTGAGGATGCTTGCCATAGATGCAGGCGAAACGTCAGGAGAGAATGCCTCTAGAACATGGCCATATAGCCCGAAAAAACCTACAACAACCCAGGATTTATTTTATTTTATTTTTAAGGCATTATTTCTTCCAGTTTTTCCCCACATTGCTCGAAAGTTGTGGTTGCTTGAATTCCAATTAACCGAGCGTCTGCTGTATTATAAAGCAAACCTTTCTGGGTTTACTATGATGTAGTTATTCATCTTTCCTTTTGATGCTTCCTTTTCCCCATCCTTTTGCTTATACACTATTAAGTAAGAGTCAAAGAATGATTTCCATTGCAATTACAAAAAAAAAAGTCATTAAATAATGCAATAATACACTTATTTCTATTCCGTTCTATCTCCCCGAAGGGACTCAGAGCAGACTACAATATACACATATAGAAGCAAACATGCAATGCCTTTCACACAGCAACAACAATGGCATACATGTCAGAGTTTGATGATGCTCAGCGGAAGGAATGCTAGATCAGCAGACACTGTGTTGCAAAATAAGGACTCTGTAGGCTTTGAGTTACAAAAGAAACTAAGTTTACTAAGCACATTCAATAGACACGTCTTACTACAGCGAGCTACAATTCAGGAACTAGTCAAAAACGAAAGCCTCTTCACATCTGCTTATCTCATCTTGCTGAGACTGGTTACTCCCTTCTGTTCCCAGCAAGAGCAAACCTTATCTAACTTCTCAAGTTTACTTAATCACAGCCTCATGGAATAAACATTCTGCACAGCATTTCTAATACACAGTGGAATCCATCTTGGCAATACATAGAAGCACATTTAAAACACATACATAACTAAATTTATCCTGACAATACAATACACAAACAAAAGCAAAGGTTTCCCTTTCCATCTCTAGCATCTGGAGGCAGTGCTCAGCTCTGGCCATGAGGAGGTGCTCTTGTTACATTTTTCCATGCCGAAGAGCATGTTGTCTGTAGACTCTTCTGGTTGTGTTTTGAGGGCATGGTTGCATAGGCGACTTTTATCATTTTGCCAAGGTGATACCTATTGATCTACTCACAAGCTTTATTTTTTGTCGGGTCAGGAGTGACTTGAGAAACTGCAAATCGCTTCTGGTGTGAGAGAATTGGCCGTCTGCAAGGACGTTGCCCAGGGGACGCCCAGATGATTTGATGTTTCTATCATCCTTGTGGGAGGCTTCTCTCATGTCCCCGCTTGGGGAGCTGGAGCTGACAGAGGGAGCTCATCCACCTCTCCCCGGATTTGAACCTGCGACCTGTCGGTCTTCAGTCCTGCCAGCACAGGGGTTTAACCCACTGCGCAAGGTTGGTAGAAGCTAGGGCTAACAGCGGGAGCTTACCCCGACCCGTGGCTTCGAAGTGCCAACCTTCCAGTCAGCAAGATTTCTGCAGCTAGTGGTTTAACCCGCTAGCTACAGTTGCCTCAAGCTTTTTACTTCAAAAAGTAAGTAATTATTATAAGTAATTAATTATAAGTAATTAATTATTATAGTAACTCATAAAACAAGTTACCTCCTTGTTCTGCTTGAACCCACTTGAGAGAAATATATTCCAATTATTATCCTAAACGTGACAGATTTCTTCCAGCTATCTTCTAATTTACTCTTTGTTTCTGACTCATCATCATTGTTCTACCTTGTTCTACATTTGAAATTGTATTCCAATGTTTTTGGGGTGTTTGTTAATAAAAATTTGCCATTTAATATCTCTGTCTTCATTAAATATGGAAATGCCAGAAGCAGTTTTGGGGGAGGCAGAGTTGCCAAGGTCTTTGCGATGTGAAGGAACAAGAAAACGAACTCTCATTAACCTGTTTTCCCAGACTTGCAAATGAAGTCTGTGTTTACCTTCCAGCGACCAGTTGCCAGCCAAAACATGCCAAAGGCAAGGCGGGTCATACAAGGAAAAGACATCTTTAACCACTTCTTCTAAAACCATGATAATAAGCATTAATTGCAGGGAGCAAACACCGACAAAATAAATAACATGTTTGTGGACAGATCATGAGATTGCTGATGGCATTATTAGGAACTGCCATTTGCCTTTCTTCCTCCATAAAAGAGGTGTGCACAGGAAAAGCATGCATTTGTGTTGGGTCCATTATGAGTGTGGTTCTCACAACAAAGGTGTAAGGAAACAATTCATTTACATCTGGTTCGAAGGTGTGACTTCCCATAAATGTATAGACTGCTGATAAAGCCTCCCATGCCTCCTATGCCTCCTATATGCAAGCAATCTCATACAGTTCCAAACCAGATCTTTCAAAATAGATAGAAAATGGTATCTCTGGTTCCCCCATGTGGCCAATTCAGATATTACACACTGGAAATTCTAAGTATATTGTATTGTCGAAGGCTTTCATGGCTGGAATCACTGGGTTGTTGTAGGTTTTTTTGGGCTATATGGCCATGTTCTAGAGGCATTCTCTCCTGACGTTTCGCCTGCATCTATGGCAAGCATCCTCAGAGGTAGTGAGGTCTGTTGGAACTAGGAAAATGGGTTTATATATCTGTGGAAAGACCAGGGTGGGACAAAGGACTCTTGTCTGTTGGAGCTAGGTGTGAATGTTTCAACTGACCACCTTGATTAGCATTTGATAGCCTGGCAGTGCCTGGAGCAATCTTTTGTTGAGAGGTGATTAGATGTCCCTGATTGGTTTGAAGTAGTCTGCAGTGCCTTGTCCACAGCTATGTTGTCTACATAGGGACCACCAAACGCAGCACCCAAACACGAATCAAGGAACATGAAAGGCACTGCAGACTACTTCAACCAGAGAAATCAGCCATAGCAGAGCACCTGATGAACTAACCTGGACACAGCATATTATTTGGGAACACAGAAATGCTGGACCACTCTCACAACCACCATGTCAGGCTACATAGAGAAGCCATTGAAATCCACAAGCATGTGGACAATTTCAACAGAAAGGAGGAAACCATGAAGATGAACAAAATCTGGTTACCAGTATTTAAAAACTCTAAAGTTAAAACAGGAAAACAGCAGAGGGAAAACAATCAGGGACATCTAATCATCTCTCAACAAAAGATTGCTCCAGGCACTGCCAGGCTATCAAATGCTAATCAAGGTGGTCAGTTGAAACATTCACACCTAGCTCCAGCAGACAAGAGTCCTTTGTCCCACCCTGGTCTTTCCACAGATATATAAACCCATTTTCCTAGTTCCAACAGACCTCACTACCTCTGAGGATGCTTGCCATAGATGCAGGCGAAACGTCAGGTGAAAATGCCTCTAGACCATGGCCATATAGCCCGGAAAAACCTACAACAACCCTGTCCTTCTCTTCCTTTTTGGTGTTGGTGAACTACAACTTCCAGAATTCAAAGACAGCACACACACACACCCCGCCCCAACCCCACCAGTATTCAATGTTGTCCATGTAGGTAGTGCCAAGTTTGGTGCAGATCTATTGTGAGTTGGGTTCAGAGTGCTCTTTGATTGTAGGTGAACTATAAATCCCAGCAACTACAACTCCCAAATGTAAATTCTATTTTCCCCAAACTCCACCAGCATTCACATTTGGGCATATGGAGTATTTGTTTTTAATTTGGTCCACTGAATGAAAATGCATCCTGCATATCAGATATTTACATTACGATTCATAACAGTAGCAAAATTACAGTTATGAAGTAGCAACAAAAAATATTTTGTGGTCGGGAGTCACCACAACATGAGGAACTGTATTAAGGGGTCACTGCGTTAGAAAGGTTGAGAAACATTGGTATAGACGAATAAAGGCTCCCGTGCCTCCTATGCGCAAACAACCTCATACAGTTACAAACCAGAGCTTTCAGAATAGATAGAAAATGGTATCTCTGGTTCCCCCATGTGGCCAATTCAGATATTACACACTGGAAATTCTGAGTATAATCCAAGATATAAGGAACCTAGGTTCTTGTGGGTTTTTTCGGGCTATAGGGCCATGTTCTAGAGGCATTTCTCCTGACGTTTCGCCTGCATCTATGGCAAGCATCCTCAGAGGTAGAGAGGGTATAAGGAACCTTCTTGGCTTCACCATGGATGCATCTACATCAGTTTGAGACCACTTTAACTGCCATGATTCAATGCTATTGCATGCTGGGATTTTTAGTTTTGCAAAATCTTCTCTGCCAAATTAGTATTGGTTCCTCAACAAACTGCAACTCCCATTGAATCATGATACCTAAAGTGGTGACAAACTGCATTAATAGTACTGTATAGATGCTCCCCATGGGAGCTTGAATTCTACAGATCCCAGGATTGTATAGAATGGTGCGAGAAGAGTTGAAGTAGTATCATATTGGTATCCGTGTTCACTGTTCATTACACTTCTGGTTGTTGATTTTATTTGCTCAGTATTGATTGATGCTAGCCATTAGAACTGCAAACAATTCCAGGTGGAGGATGGTTGCATCAATCAATGGGGTAATGAATTCTACCACGTATTTTACTCCGAATAATAGAGCTATCCACAATGCTAGCTTTAGTGTAAAATAGCTCAGACTTTCGGGTGTCTTTTTAAAAGTTTGGACTACAAACTGTAATGGATTCGCCATTTAGCTGGAAGGCAACAGCCTCCATTGCAAACAATGCAATACCAATTTTAAGAGTCTAATGTAACACAATAAGTTTGGCTTCTCAGCTCTCATGAGACTTGGAGTACGTCTACACTATACAGTTAATGCAGTTTGACATGGATTTAAATTGTCATGGATCAAAGTCATGGAATTATGGTGGTTGTAGTTTTATAAGGTCTTTAGCTTTCTCTAACTCTGCAAACTACAACTCCCAGGATTGCATATCCTTAATCCATGTTTGTTTAAAGCAGTGTTTCTCAACCTGGGGGTCGGGACCCCCATGGGGGTCGCGAGGGGGTGCCAGAGGGGTTGCCAAAGACCATCAGAAAACATAGTATTTTCTGTTGGTCATGGGGGTTCTGTGTGGAAAGTTTGGTCCAATTCTATTGGTGGGGTTCAGAATGCTATTTTATTGCCGGTGAACTATAAATCCCAACAATTACAACTCCCAAATGGCAAGGTCTATTTTCTCCAAACTCCTACCAGTGTTAATATTTGGGCATAT